CAGTTAAAATTATGGACTTAAAGCCTATGCGATGGCATCATTGTGATGTTTTATGTAAACATAACCCATTTAATTTTGATAGTTTTATTCAATTTAGTTATCTTAAAATGTTTTTTAAATGTTTAAATAATCATGTTCCAATCCTGTTTTATAAGCTAATCAATCGGCATCAAACCTCCCACAGAGTTACACGGGCAACTGCTAACGGTGACTGTCTAGTGCCAAAGTGTAAGACCTCGATTGGTCAATCTGTCTTCTCTGTAAAGGGAGCCAAACTGTGGAATGAGTTACTGGTTAGCTTTAAATCAGAAAGTAATCTAAATATTTTTAGTAGTGCTCTTAAAAAGTAGGTAAAAATAAAACAGCAGTGTTTGCACAAATAGTCTACTGTAAGTTGGTTGGATCATGTCGTCTTTGCTTTTGCCTGCAGTAATTTTATGTAAAGAATTGTAATGTTGTGTATGTTCTATTATATTTCTATTTTGTCAATTTTAAGCCTCCTGTGGACAGGTGTTGAAAATTAGCAAGTTTGCTAAAACACTTAAACAAATGCATTTGGTTGTCCAGTGTAATTGTGATGTCCATGTCAAATAAATAAATTAAAAAAATTATATTATTTGCTAATTAATAACCACGTCATGTAGAACTCTGAATCTGCATCTCATTTTGGAGGCTTGTGCTTTGAGAGCCATTTTAAATAAATGAGTGAAATGTACTGTTTTCCACCAGAGCAACCCGTCATGCTGAAATATAATTGACTAAAGTAACATTGGATGGGCTAAAAAAAATAAACATGTTGACTTAGCATGTTTTTTAAATAACAGCACCTTTGAGAACGTATTTAGTGACACCACGATATAAACACTAGAGCATAATTATGAAACGGCAGACTTTTTATTTTGTTCATATGATAGATAGATAGACAGACAGACAGACAGACAGACAGATTTGTTGACCAGGGATAGCACATACTTCATCTGTGCGGCTCTCACCTTCAAAAAATTGGCTTTCAGTGAAGGTCTGCCTCTGCATAGGAATGTTGTCCTCCTGTCCATCGTCTTCCTCAGGGTTATTAATAATATCCAAACCAGCTTCGATCACCTCCACCAGCTCATCCCTCCGGTCCTTCCTCACAGGTTTCTCCTCAGGATGGCGAGTCAAACCCATCTCCAGCTGGTACACTTTAGTGGTGGTGAAGCTCTCAAAGGGAACCAGCGCATATTCACTGGGCAGCCTGGCTCCAGTGTTCACCTCGGCCTTGTCGATCTGTGAATGCAGATACTCCAGGAGATCACCTGGCTCTTGATCCCTGCCATCGTTCAGACTCTGCGGCCCGGGACCCTCCTTCTTCTCTTGAAGCACCCGCAGCTTCTCGCTCATCTCCTGGAGCTCTTGTTTGAGCTGTGCGATCTGCCTCTTCAGGCTGGCCGCTCGGCTGAGATGGCGCTCTTCCTGCTCCTGTAAGAGGGCTTGGTAATACTCTTTTCCATACGGATCTCCTGCCAGACCTGGGAGCACCTGGCTCACGTCTGCAGGCGGTGTGCACTCCAGCAGATAAGCAAAGAGAAGCAGTATCACCAACAGGAAAACACCCAGGAGAAGCCAGCGTGCCCGCCCCTGCAGAGGAAGCCCCCGTCTGGGCATTTCTGAGAGGCAGGGAGATCTTCACCAGCCACAGTTTTGCATCGTCAAGATGGAACCTTTAGGAAGGATGAAGTCTTTGACATTAATCCATTCCTCAGTGAAGCAGAGGAAGGCGGGAGTGTCACATTTCTGTTGTAATCAGTGCTCCCCTGGCACTACAGTGCGCTAAACATGCGCAGATTCCACAGAGATGTGTGATCATACTCTGTCATCCTGCTCACACAGCGCTCCTTCTTTAAGAGAAATAAGTCATCTAAAACAAAGAGAAAGTCATCAGTCATACAGGGTCAAACAGTGCAAACTGACAAAGACATAACAACATAACAAACTAATATTTTAACATTAAAAACAGCTAAAAATATCATTTGAAAAATTATTTTATAGCCTTTGCAATAGATTAATTTGTTGTATTTTTGTAAAAACATAATGGTCTGTCTTTTTAACTTTAAAACAGTATTGTGTGGTTTATTAGAAATAGAATTATGGCTGCCACTAAACTTTTCATGAATACAACGATTGTCCCTCATTTATCTTTTATTGTGCTACAAGCTGGTCTCACACAAACATTACAACATTAAAACCCATTGTATAATATCTAAACAAACTGTACAAAATTGAGTTAAAAAGCCAATGAGCTATCTTTACTGCAGCTGTATTGAACAACATAACATTCGACAATTTCTTATTTTATGCTGACGTGTGTTTAGTGTATAAAATATTGAATGATCTTGCACCAGCACCTCTCAAACAATGTGTGATTGTCTGCAAGGACAATATAAGACAGACTAGGTCATCAGTAGGTCCACAAGGAATCTGCGCACACAGAAATCTGCAGATTTTTAGCTCATCATGGAGTCTATTCATTTACTTGTGTAAACTGATATTTATTCAATTTTGAAATTAATTTCACTAATATTATTGTGATATAATAATAGTAATGCGAAAATGTTCATATGATTTATTTACAATACAGTTTGTAAATTATTGTCTGTCTTTTAATAGATATATTATATGAGACTTGCTTTGTTTACCAAATAAGTTTATCTAATTGATTTTGCATTGTAAACATTATATAAAAGTAAAAATGTATTATTTTTTATTTTATATATTACGTTTTAGTTATGAAACTCCCAAAATCATTCAGCATAAATCTGCAGATTTTGCAAAATTCTTCGCAGAAATAGAAAAACTGTCTGCAGATTCTGTCTGGCGCTAGTCATCAGTTAGAGGTGATTGTTCAGTTAAACTCAAGAGAACTGTTTTTGGATAATCAGAGCAGCAGAAAGATGGAACAAAAATACCAGTGCATATTAAAGAGAGCACCACTTTTTTATAATAATTTTTAAGGGGTTTTTAACCTTTAATGAATAGAAAAGTGCAGATAATTGACAGGTAATAGTTGAACAAAAAAATGCTAAATTATTATTAAATGCAAATTAACCTACTGTAAATTTGTTGCTAGGTAGAATAAATATCAATCTGACCTTGTTGTGGATTCCTGATCACTCTTTTACCCAAACACAGAATAAAACGATGCACATTTATCGAAAACAATTGTACTGTAGTAGAGTGCAATTATATTTTATGTTAACTTACACGTTTGCTCATTACAAACTAATAGCGAACAGTTACGAGTCTCAGTAAAACGACTCATAAAACTGCAGTGAATCAGAGCTTTATGCGTCCTGGGAAACATCTGGCTCATTGATCCATCAGCCTGAGGAAAAGACACAACAGCAAAGTGTTCCTGCTCGAACAAGGAAATTATACAAATATACTAACTAACGATAGCGGAAGAAAACATCGACATGTTTTTGTTTATAAAACAAATTCGGAAACGAGCAACACTTACCTCGGTGGTTGTGGTTGTATGTGTATGTCGGTAAGCGCTTCTTTAGGCAACTGTTTAGCAGAACCCCGAGCATAATAAATGTGGGAACACAACGCCACGGGGCAGACAGAAAAGGAAGCACAATAAAACGCACGTTACTTCCGCCATGAGCCGCAGGATTTCAAAATAAAGGTCCACCTGCTGTCTTTAAAGGGGTAGTTCACCCAAAAATGAAAATTTCGTTCTCTTTCTCTTTACTTCTTCCAAACCAGTTTGAGTTTGTTTGTTCAGTTGAAAACAAAAGAAAATAAAGAAGAATGCTGAAAGCCTGTAACCGATGACTTCCATAGAATATGTTTTCCGGCAGGTCAGTGGTTGTAGGTTTCCAACAGTATACCTGCTTTTGTGTTAAAACATTTGGGTGAACTATCCCTTTAACTTTTCATTCATTCATTCATTCATTCATTCATTCATTCATTCATTCATTCATTCATTCATTCATTCATTTATTTTCCTTCCTCAGTCCCTTTCATGGGGGGTCTTGAACCTGAAACCTTTGCTGTGAGGCGATAATGCTAACCAATGAGCCATCGCGTCACCCCCACTTTATCTTTTGGCCTACGAAATTTCCTGAAATTATGACATTTTTAAAAGTCTGTGCTTAGAGAATTCATTGAACTGTTTTTGTTTAACCTAAAAAGAAAATTCTGTCATTGTTTTCTCATCTGCCATTTGTTTAAATTTATCTCTTCTTTGTACAATAAACATAATGAATAATTTTAAGTTTTTTTTGTTTTCCAGTAGCTGGAGTGACTTCATATTATATGACAGAAATTTCTTTAAATTTCTGTCCTTTAACTTTTGTTATTTTACAGTAAATTTCAGTAATTTAACAGCCATTATTTTGCACTTTTTTTGCAGATTTCTTTTACAGTGTAGACATTTAGAAGAATGTTCAAAATTCTCAATATGTTTACTCCTTCAGCTTTCTTCAAAATACATTCTTTTGTGATCAACAGAAAAAAGTTTAGAAACTTAAATTGTGAGTACATTTAAATGTGTTTTTGTGATGTTCTTTGACAAAAAATAAAAGAGTCTGATTAAAATAAATCTTCCCATTTTAATGGATTGAAACTTCAAACTGACGTCAGTGATCTCTTTCCAAATTTATAGTTTGTCCTATCGGGTTTCCTTTTTTAATCATTTTGTTGTGGTCATAAAATGTGTAATAATTCTCAAATTTTATCAGCTACAGAATTCTTTTTGTCAACCAATTGTTTTATTATAGTACAAGTGTAGCAACCATCCTTTTTGCTGCTCTGATAAGTACTCATATAGCCAGAGATGTAATACAAATTAGTAGATAACCATTGTGAATTTGTGTTTACAATCATTTAAATTCAACAACAATAAAATATAGCTTTTGGGAGAGTTTTATTTGAATATAATGAAGAAATCGCCTTTTAATCTTCATGAAGTCTGAAAATGAAATAGAACTGAAACACACAGAAATGAAAACAAGACATATTCTAACAGGTTTTATTGTTTGAAACGTAATCTTCGGACAACATATTGAAGAATCACACTCAGCTTAATGTAGTTATTGTTGCACAAATAATGTCTTTACAGGGAATGAAAATTAAATCACAATATATGACATTAAATTAAACATATTCATACTCTGTTATGGCAATATGCATAACTCATTATCACCACAGAGCCTAGAAATATCATTACTTAAAAAACAAGGAAACAAAATAAACATGATTCTTTCCAATCCTCACACACGATCAAGAAAAAACAAACTTTTCTTTTTCCAAATAAACATGTCCAGTATTTGCGACAAACTTCTGCAGTAATTGATGGTAAAGAAGCTCCCTTTAATTCCTGGAGTGGGACCAAGATCGTCTCGGTCATGCATTTATTATGGTGTTCTCTAACAGAAGCGGCACAGGCACTTAAACATGGACATTAAACTGTACAGAGTCATGCAGAGATACAGCACGGAGGCCTCGTGGTAACAATCACCTAGAAGCTGCTTGAAGCATGTTTATGCATTTCCAGCCAATTTGAAATCTCTCATCATCTACACAACAGCAGAAATAAAAGGGAACCCGCTTTATCATCATACAACATATACATATATATATACAGTTTCATAGAAATATACACATCTCCCCACCCCCCGTGTCTTTTCCGCCATTGATTTTGGCTTGCGTTTTTAACTATCGATTGTGTCCACGATTTTTGCGGGAGAATGCAAAGCCATCCAGTTTGCATAAACACTATCATTGGCATATCTTGTAAAGACAGGGTTAGTGGCATCGAGTCTGTTGAGCGGTACCGGGCTCTTCTCTGGCCAGTTCGGGTATGACATGCCTAAAAACGAGAACATATGATTTTTTCTGCACTGAGGAAGCATTAAGTCCAGACAGTAAGGCTCTCGAACAAAACTCAGTTACATTAAACAGCACAGTAAGCATGAAATCATTCTTTGGTCCTTTGAGAGTTTTTTGGTCAATATTCTGCTGCGGTGACATTGTATATTCTGTGACGTCATTGTTGTCTTTGGCTTTTAAATGTACAGTAGATGCTTTTAAATGAAACATAATCCGTTTTCGTGTACTCCAAGAAATGCATAGCGACTGCCTTACTGCTGGCCATTTTATTGCTTAGTTATTCCTCTGTTAATGCCTCATTTTTGGGGAGCACTTGCATATTTTTATGATCTTAAAAAAAAGGAAGAGTTAAATTCAAAAGCCTTACTGCTTTCAGAACTGACTCCATCTACTTTTAAACACTCATTTTCTGTAATACATTCAGGATATTACAGAGAGAGCACACCCAGAGCACAGGGGACCTGTTTCAAATGTAAAAGTCTAACTTAAAGTGCTGCCAAACTAATAGAAAATTCACAAATGTGAATCTAAAAACACATTAATTCCTCACTGTGTGTGTTTATATAAAAATGAATTCACTTTTAAATCAGTAGTAATAATACTTGAATACTAATACATCCGTTTAAAATGTATATTTCAGATAATAAAGTACATCGGAAGCAGGTCCAAATGACACATCTGATCCCTAGATCCAGATACTACAGAATCTATAAAACGTGAGCAGTATTGGTAAGTCGCTGGCAACCATGCCGTTAGCACAATCACAGCTCTTCCTATGGAAGGCAAAAGATAAACTGATTTTGTTCCCTGTATTAGAATCTAGTAAATGCATGGGAAATTCTACCATAGAGCTTGTTTTCAATCCAAGTGGAGGGGAGGGTTCGAGGGAGAGGGGCGTTACTACAGTCCACTAAGGGTGTGTCCTCTTCAGAGAGAGAGTCGTCATATAGGAGAGCGTCTGCCGGTGTGGAGGCCGCAAGATCCAGATAGTCCTAATCAAGACAAACACACAGTTATTACAGTGAGGTAGATTCTGGGCTAAGTTTCCCAAACAACGACATAAGCCACAGCTGAACTATCATCGTACGATGCATCATTTGGCAAAAGAACGATGTAGTGACGACTGTTTTCCAAAAGCGTTGTTTCTCTGTCGCAGATTCATTTATTGAATCATGTTAGTTATAACATAAAAGGTCCATAATGACGCTCTAAACAGGTGAACTAACAACTTCTTCATAAAATAATACTTTTTAATATTATTTTAATATTATTTTAATAATATTTTTTGTGCAAATTATATTGTTTTACATGCACACGCATTTAAAAACGTCCAATATTAGTTTTGGTCATGCACTTGTTTTCCATAATAATTGAAATATATATATAAATGACACATATAGGGCCTGTGTTTATGTTTATTGGACAAATATTATTGAGAATAGGGTCTATTTCATATTCTATTATAAAACATACAACCACTTAGTAACACATATTCAAATCTCATATATAAATAATATAAATGGTTAATGGTTGTAATTTACAGTAGGCTATTTATTCAGAAATAAAAAACTAATCTTACTTAATAATAATAATATGAATTATTATTATTATTTTTTTATTATTATTATTATTAGGTAGAATATTGTTTGTTTGTTTTTTTTATTTAATTTAATTTAATTTATTATAAAAGTCTACTGTTAACAATCTGACACATTCAAACCCCTGAAGAAATGTTCTAACCAACAGGCCTATGTCATATACAGTACAGATACATTAAATAACCAACAATGAATTAAAACCGTTAAAGCATGCTATATATTTCTGTTTTCACAAGCTTTGTAAATTCCGTAAATTCTGCTTTAAAATAATAGGTCACCTATAAACTTTCACATGAGTCACGGCTGCTTTCAAAATGGCATAAATGTTTTCAAAGTGCACTGCGACGGTAACACAATTGTCAATATGAGGATCGCTAAAACTGAACTGTAAAATACTTTGAATGGAAATTACAGATAAAAGAGATGACTTTAATGTTTGCTTGTTTTTTAAATCATTTCAAGTTTAAATGTTCTAAACGAATAGGGAAGATAACTGGAAATAGAACACAACCAGGAACTATGCTTCTAACTACAGATCAAGACGTGTAGTTGCAAGCGTACAAGATTGCGGCGCAGTTTGCAAATGTTAGTTGGAACAATGGTTTTGGGAAATGCCAAATCAACAAACTATATGCTTGTAATGGCGGAACTTGTGACTTTAGTTGGCTAATGATGGTTTTCGGAAACTTACACCAGTTTAATAAAAAAAAAAACGTTTAGTGATTTACATTATACATGTTGAGAGTACAATAACTGTGAACTGTTACACTGTAAAAAGTGATTAGTTACTTAAAGTGATTAAACCAATAGCCTGAAAAGCAACAAGTTGACTTAAAAATAATGTAAAACTCATTGTAACTTGGAATTGTTAAGTTGAAAACTTAAATTTTCACAATTTTACTCACCCTTTTTAAATACAGTTAACTAATTGCTTTTTATAGTGTAGTTCTACTTTTTGTATTGAAATAAATAAGATTGAATTTTTGTACTATTTTCTGTTGTTTTATAACATAAAATGTATGATAGATTAAATATGGTTGTTAAGTACTTTAAACCTTTAGACAATTAATGTTTTAATTTCACATTATTACTAATTTTAAGCAAATTATCATCATAATAACATAAATAAATAAACATTTATTTTACCGGTAACACTTTACAATAAGGTTCATTAGTTAATGTCAATTTTCCTAACATGAACTAATCATGAACAACACATGTACAGCATTTATTAATCATAATTGAACATTTACTCATGCATTATTAACATCCAACTCCATGCTTGTTAACATTAGTTAATGCACAATGAGTTGACATGAACTAACAATGAACCACTATATTTTCATTAACTAACGTAACTAACATGAACAAACACTGTAGTAAATGTATTGTTCATTGTTTGTTCATGTTAGTAAATGCATTAATTAACATTAACTAATGAACCTTATTGTAAAGTGTGACCATTTTACCTATATTAACGTTTAAAGGTTTGATGTTTAAAAAAGTTTCTTATGCTCTTACGATCATTTATTTAACCAGATATATAGTGGAATGTTACTGCAATTTTAAAATATATTCTGTTTAAATTTGGCATCACTTTACTTAAAGAGGGTGTTCATAAGACTTTCATTATCATGAAATGACATCTCATGATTCATGAATATAAATGAGACATTATGCACGCTTATAAGAACTGTCATTTGCTCGGTTATGTCATTTTAAATACAAAGATGACATTGTTTGAGATGTCTAAGTTATGACAACTTGAAATTATCAAGACAGCATAACTTGTCATAAATCTGTCATAAACATAATTGTCAAAAGGCCATGAATATTTTTGTGTCATGAATATTCAAAGACAAATCTAAATTTGTCTTCAGTCACATGATCCTTCAGAAATGTATTTACTCTCACTTTGATAAATAAAAGCAAAATAAAAGTAATTTTTTCCAATAATTTTTCCAATTCCTCATAAATGTGAAGTCAGGTTCAGCTCAGATTGTCATTTCATTCAGAAGTGTTTTGATTTGTGTGGATGAGTAAAAGAGTTCACGGTGTTCTTACTCTGCTTTTCACCATCATCTTCTCCAGTTCTTTGCTGATGTCTGAGAAAGTGGGACGTTTATCTGACTCTTGTTTCCAGCAGCGAAGCATCAGATTGTACCTACATTAGAAAAGAGTATTCATTACCTGACACAGAACATCTGAGAGTATCACACCAAAATAAACGATACATTGAGGTCAAATGTAGAACAATGTAGAACAAAACAAGACTGGATGAGACATGCTAACATGATGCTAACATGCTAAATGTTAAAATGATGTATATATCCCACGATGACATGGGGACTTTGCAACATTCAGCTCTTAATACAATATATTGAAATGATGCTATGATGACTGTGAAACACACATTTCATCAGTGCAGTTCTCTGGTTTCTCCATCCTGTAGCCGGTCTTCAGAAGGTTGAAAAGTCGTTCAGGGGCAATTCCTGGGTAGGGGTTTCCTCCAAGAGTCACAATCTCCCATAAGAGAACACCAAATGACCAGCTAACACACGACAAAAAAGAAAGAGAGAACGATTATAATGTTGTTATAAGTTGTAAGGTTATTCGTACATTATGAATATGTACCGTATGGATGTCATAACTATAGTTTTACATGAGATCTTGTGATAACTTACACATCACTTTGTGTGGTGTAGATGTGATCGAACAAAGACTCTATAGCCATCCATTTGACAGGAATACGACCCTAGAAATTGAGAGCACATTAAGACATATTAGTCTAGCAAAGGTTATTTATAGGAAATAAATGGCTTTCAAATATGATTTCAAGCACATTCATATTTAAAGAGGTCCTCTAACTAGTCTTTTAATAAGATGTAATATAAGAATCCAAAATGTGAACAGAATCAAACTCAAAATACATCATAGATCATCTGATATTCAGTGCAGTAAGTGACCCTTTTGTGAGCAGAATCAATAACATGCCAATCTGTTGTGACTCTTTAAATGCAAATGAGCTGATGCTCCCCACCCCATTTCCAGAAGAGGGTGGTGCCTCTTCAGCTACTCAGTCAACAGTAAACTAATTGTCTGAATGAATTAACATGTGTTGTGAGAATTTATTTTAAGTGTGTTGTCAAACTGATGAAGAGGTTTTCATTATTTGTATAATTTGCATAATTTGTTCATAATTTTTTGTTCATTGGATTGTGCTTTCTTTTCTTGCAGAACATTTGACCTCTATCAGCCACCGTACAAATAACAACATTACAAACTAAAGGAATAATTAGACCCATTAAAACATCGGTGGGGGCGTGTGACTAATTTAATGCAGTTTAACAAAATAGATCACCTTGCTCCTCTTCACGTATGAATCTTCCTCATAGACATCTCGAGACAAACCAAAGTCTGATATTTTCATCTTCCTTCCTTCTGCCACCAGCACATTCCTTGCAGCCAGGTCTCTGTGAACAAGCTTAATACAAATTTTCCCTTTATAAATTTTCTTTAAAAATAGAACATCAGGTATTCGGTGTTGTATATTTTCCTCAAATCACTGGCATACCTTCATCTCAGCTAGGTATTGCATTCCTCTAGAGATCTGCCAGGCGAACGAGATCAGGTCGCCCATGGTCAGAGCTCTCTCGTCTGGGTTTTCCAAGTAGCTGGAGTTGCGGTTGGCATCATTGCCCATATAGCTTGGCCCAACTTTGCGGCTCTCTCTCAGGAAGTTACGTAGTGAACCATACTTGGCGTATTCAACAATTAAGTATAATGGACCTGAACACATTAACATAAGTAAGCACACACAGCAAAGTGGAAACAAATGCATGAAATGAACATACAGGTGTTTGTGTATAACATCTTACCATCCTGGCTGCAAGCTCCATACATTTTAATGACATGAGGGTGATTAACCTGCTTAAGCAATGTGAACTCTGAGAGGAGGTCTCGAAGCTCGCTGTGAGATGCATTTTCTGTGGTGAAAAAATGAATGGTTAGAGTAATTTCAGACTAAAGTGATTTGATCAAATGCATCCCACACAGAAATCTGATGGCAACATATGCAAATGACATACACTAACCGGCCACTTTATTAGGTACACCTGTCCAATTGCTCATTAATGCAAATATCTACTCAGTCAATCACATGGCAGAAACTTGATGCATTTAGGCATGAAAGTGTGGATCCATCCTGCCTTGTATCAATGATTCAGGCAAGTGGAGGTGGTGAAATGGTGTGGGGGATATTTTCTTAGCACACTTTGGGCCCATTAGTACCAATTGATCATTGTGTCAATGCCACAGCCTACCTAAGAATTGTTGCTGATCATGTCAATCCCCTTATGACCACATTGTACCCATCTTCTGATGGTTATTTCCAGCAGGATTACACGTCATGTCATAAAGCGCGAATTACTTCAGACTGGTTTCTTGAACATGACAATGAGTTGACTCTACTCAAATGGCCTCCACAGCCACCAGGACTCAATCTAATAGATTACCTTTGGGTTATGGTGGAACAGAAGAGTCCCATCATGGATGTGCAGCCGACTAATCTCCAGCAACTGCATAATGCTATGATGTAAAAATGGACCAAAATCTCTAAGGAATATTTCCAGTACCTTGTTGAATCTATGCCACGAAGGAATAAGGCAGTTCTATGGGAAAAAGTTGGTGATAACATGTACTGGTAAGATGTACCTTATAAAGTGGCCGGTGAGTGTATATGACATACAAGTTCATATTTGGATTTACATATATAAAATATATCAAATATGAGACAAATATTTTGAAATATTAAGAAAAGTCTGCTTTTATATTTTTTGGTCAACCCCTGGATTTACAAATATGTACATATGTTTAAATATACTAAAAATACACTATACTATAATTTAATATTTTAATACGTGTACATATATGGTCACACAGTACATGAACATTTAATATATTTGAACATGTAGAAATTTATAAATCTAACAGTTGGAAAAATATATATGTATGAGGCCATTTTTGCAATATTTCGAAAAATGTGTTGCTTATATGACTTATTTTTTTTTTATGTAAAACCCAAATTTGAAGTAGTATGTCATATATGTGGTTTTATATATTTCTAAGTATCAGATTTCTATATGGGATGTTTTGTGAGTTGCAAACCTTTTAACATTTTCACAGCAACCGTAGTGTATCCAGCTTTTCCTTTGAGTCGGAAAGCTGTGGCCTTCACCACCTTCCCAAACTCTCCTTCTCCAAGAGTTTTACCCAACACCAGGTTCTTTCGTGGAAACTCCCATTTCGGATCCTCCTGTTAATAGAAATTTGAAAATAATACTTTTTTATTAATCAGTTAGAGTTGATCAAAATTAGGCATAACATTTAAAATGCTGAGCAGGACTCACAGGTATTTTGAAGGTGTCAATGGCCACCTGGTTCTCCATGGAATCGAGAGAAGCGCGACGAACGTTATTGGCCGAGTAACTGATAGGGTAAGACTGGGCTGGCCGACGGAAGGTCATTTCAGCAGAAGCAATGGGTGGCTTTGGGGTGGTCTTGTGGTAACGGTGGATGAAGTACGAGGACAGGAGAACGGAGACAATGAAGGACAGGATGATACCAGTTGCAATGACGGTCTTGCACATGTCGTTACATATATCATCTGAAAAACAATTCAAAGCAATGCATTTCTTTCAGTTTCAAAAACTAGACAATGAATAAACAACCCTCTGTATATACAACTTTTAAAAATACTTTTTACAAATGTGAGGACAGGTAAGGAGCTCATACAGAGGACACAGTCATCTACAGTATGTCTCTGCTAAAACACCTTGCCGGGCAGGTGAGCAACTGACTCAGACAACATTTTTCAAGATGGCTTGCGCTGTCTCATTTAACGTTAAATGGCAAGAAAACAGTTTCTATGTGCTTCTTCAAATGAAATAGGCCTGCAAGGGATAAATTTGAGGTGATGATTAAAAATAAAGTTATTGAAGAAGTGAACGAATCTAATAAGTAGGCATTAAACCTCTCACACAAGTCAAACAAGCAACTGCTAATGTTGACTGTCTTGTTCCAAAGTGTAAGACCACTTTTGATCAATCTGTTTTTGGTTTCAGTTACGGAAACCAAATAGTAGAATGATTTACGTAAGCCTAAAATTAGAAAGGAATATAAATGTTTTTAGTAGTGTTCTTAAAAAGAGGTTAAAAATAAAACAGCAGTGTTTACATAAATAAATAATAAATAAATACTATTAGTTTGTTTGATCATGCTGACTATGCTTTTACCTTATAGCAATTTTATGGAAAAAATGATGTGTTTATAATTTATAAATTTATAAATGTATATGTTTATAATGTGTTTTAATGTTTATAATAGTTTATATGTATCTATTTTAGTTTCATTTTAGGTCAAGGCTCCTGTGGATAGTTGTTGAGAGTTAGCAAGTATGCTAAAACACTTGTCCAGTGTAATTGTGAGGTCCATGTCTATTTAAATAAAAAAATAAATAAATACCTAAACAAACAACTGATACAAAAGTTTTGCAACTATAATAAAATAATCCCCAATTCTGTTAACTTTGAGAACTTCTTAATTTATCTTCTGTGAAGTTACGAAAGTCCGAAAATAATATAAAAAATACAATCTTTACAGAGAAAAAAACAATCAGCTGCAGCTCACCCTCCGGTTCATCTCTTTCACAGAAGCACTTTCCTTCAAAGCAGTAACAGGTCCCATGTCCAGCTTTGATTCCATACAGGTCCCTTTCATAACCGCCGATTATGGCCTCACCTGACAAAAAGACACAGATATAGACATTTCACTTCCTTAATGCACCATTGCACAATTATGCTGATCAAACTAAACAACACTGCACCAAAACAAGTGCTCAAATACGTCTTACTGGAGCAATCCTGAGGACAGATGGAGATGTTCTTGCTCTCAATGGCATCACAGTAACCATCAGGGCACGTGCCGAGGTTGGGGGAACAGGTGGAGTATCTTTTTGATATTCCTGCAAACAACACAGAATTAGTTTTTCAGCAAACACAATAATAAAGTAAAGTGCAGTGTATTTGATTTGCACGTCCTTGTAGTAGTCAAGGGGATTGTGGGTAACCTTTATCTCGGCCTTGTCTCCACTGGCATCTCCCTGTTGGGGCTCCCAGGCCTCGAGTCGCCTCACAGTCTCCTCGCTGTCTCTTTTCTGCACAAGCTGGAAATCGTGGCTCATCCGTTTTCAGTGAATCTGCTACATGGCACAATTGAAGAAAAAAAAAGAGCAGAGCAAGATTATAGTGTTATTAGTATTAAAACACTGAAGATGCTTTCACCAGTACTGGTCATGACTAATATTCATGGACATACAGTGGAGATCAAAATTGAAGAACAATTCGTCACCTTGGAATTATAAGGTTCTATCTGTGTTCTGAAAGATTTTGAGATATTGAGCTATTGCATTCCGCATAGCAAATATGTTTTTTTAAGATTTGTTTCTTAAAATGTAAAAAACATCCCAAAATTAAAATGTAAATAAATTGTCATAAGAATATGTCAATCAAAACTCAATTTTGACAAAAATGTCAGATAGAACCTTAAAATTTTAAGGTGACGAATTTCTAATTATAAACACATGCTTTTTTCAGAAATAATGTAATCTTTAGCATTCAATATTTGAAGGAATTTTAGTTGTGGCTATACTGTGTTACATTGTAAGAAGTGATTAGTTGACTCTACTTAAAAAAACAGTAAACTCATTGCATCATAATTATTAGGTAAACAACCTATGTGCATACACTGTAAAAAGTGATTAGTTACTAAAAGCGAGTAAACCAATTGCCTTAAAAGCAACAAGTTGACTTTACAAAAGTAATGTAAGCAAACCAATTGTAACTTGGAACTGTTATGTGGACTTCATTTGAATAATTATGCTAATTATACTCCCTTCTTAAAATCAACTAATCCCTTTGTACAGTGTCAGACTATTTTAGCTCATCTGTTTTCTAATAATACTGTAATAATTAAAATATTATATATTTGCTGCTTCATTAAGTTTATAAAATATACAATTATAGCCTGTATGGAATTTAGACGACACACTGGAGTCTGGAAGAGCAGATATATTTTACTGTATGTCATTTTGCTAGATACAGAAAAGCTAGAAAAGACTAATATAATAAAGCTGTATTGAAAAAAAGTAATAAGTTTACTTTTATTATTATTATTTTTAAGTGAGTACAATTTACATAATTCTAAAAATTAAGTCAACTCAACAGTTCCAAGTTACAATTGATTTACTTATATTGTTTTTTGTGTAGTCAACTTGTTGCTTTTAAGGCAATTGGTTTACTTGCTTTAAGTAACTAATAAGTTTTTATAGTGTACTTATAGAAGTTAAGTCAAGTCAATGAGTTTACTGACTTTTTTAAAGTAAAATCAACTTGTTGCTTTTAAGTTATTGGGTTTATTCACCTTTTTAAAGTAAAGTAACATTTTTTTACAGTGTAGTAAAACTGTTAAACAAAAAAAAACAAGAAGTTTCAACTAAAAACTCTTTATTTTGTAGAAAACACTGTGGTCATGATTAGGGAACAGAAATGATTGTTGCATGATGAAAGATTACAGATAACGTTTCTGAAGGTTGAATTGGTCAAAAAAAAAAAACACAATTCATGACACTTATACTTCTCACCTTTCATTGACTTGTGGACACACTTTGGGTTCAGTCTTTTCACGGTTTTGAAAACAAACATTCATTAATTTTCCTTCACCCTATTCCCTTTATTCATCAGGAGTCGCCACAGCGGAATGAACACCTCTTGTAATTAGTTATTTAATAAGTATTCATTTTTTTTACAGTTTTAACTTTCTGCTGCTTTCTGCTGATGAAATTTTGTTCATTGCAGGCTTTCAGTCTAAATTCTTAGAGATTCTTTAGTTCTATATCAGTACTTTTACTCAGATTCCAGCTTATCAAAATTGGCCAGATATTGTCTTAAACTAACATTTCCTATATTAAAGCATATTTAATCGACTTTCAAACTGTTTAAATCTCAGATAATTCTCCCATTTATGTTTTAGTGTGTACATATTATTAGTGACACTTGTAATACATTAAATAAAGGGTCCTTATTGTAAAGTGTGACTGGTATCATTTAACATAAGCAAATGTTTCTTTTGTTAGGTAACTAAAGATAGAAATATTCCTTTTGTTAATTGAATTAAAATAAATGCAATGTATACCTATATTTTAGCTAGTTGAGAAAGAAATATTTATCATTTTAATTGTGCTGATAATAATCTAGATATTAATATTTACAGTAGCACTTCTTCACTCCTGTTTGCTCAAGTTCAAATGATTAAAATCATCCGTAAAGCACCTGGGAGTAAGTTGTTGCCTTCTTTAAGACTGTGAAGAAATAAGTGACATTGATGAAAGTTTGGTCGCTGCAGGGTTTTAGTCAAAATTCTCTTAAACACAGCGGTGTAAAGTAATAAATTACAAATACTCTAATTACTGTAATTGAGTATTTTTTTTTTGAGGAATTGAACTTTACTAAGTGGTGTGCACTTTACTTTTACTGGAGTACATTTTTAGTTCTATATCGGTACTTTTACTGTGCTATTTTACCCTGCAGTCACTACTTTATGTTTATTTTTTCTTGTCCACGGTTATTGGCTAAGTAGAATAATCAGTTCCAGGATTCCCATCCAATCAAATCATGTCACACCAAGGACCGCCCACAGACCTGTGGCTAAATGTCTAATGCATATGGCACACTAATCTGAAAACACTTCTGCAGATCCTCACTTGTCTTTTGATTGGTTTAAATAAACAATATCTCCATGAGCAGCAATCCTAACCAGTCTTGAGCTTGGTTTGAGGAGTCAACTGCTGGACACTCTTAGCTTAATGCATAACCAGTCAAAATGCATAACCTTGGTGAACCTTCAAAGTGAATAACATTAACAGATCTACAATTTTTGTAATACTCACTACTCTTAACTACTCTAAGAATGGTTACTTTTCATTTGTACCTAGTATTTAGAACAGATACTAAGCTCCACAAATCAAGCTCAAGACTTGTTAGGATTGCTGCTCAATCTACACATGAAAATCCAGTTTATTTAAACCAATCAAAAGACAAGTGAGGATCTGCAGAAGTGTACTGTAAAAGTTAAGTGCTCACCACTTAGTAACGCACAATTCCTCAGAAAAAAAATACTCAATTACACTAATTATTACTTTACACCCATGTCTTTAAGAGAATTTTGACTGAAAGCCTGCAGTGACCAAACTTTCATCAATGTCATTTATTTCTTATTACTCTACCTGCACAAGATTTTTGGGCAAGTAATTTTACTTTTACTTGAATAGGACTTTTCAGTGATCTTTTCATCACTGCTTAGCTTGTTCTCAAATTTTTATCTCCACTTTAGTCTTGCAAACGTTTAAGCTTACCTTCGCCTTGAAAACTGACGGTGAGCTGTGTCTTGGCCTGAAGCTTGTTCTGCTGCTCCTGGGCAATGACCACATACTCCAGCTCTTGGCACTCTGGTCTGCGTAACACTTTGGTGTCGTTCACATAGAGAACGCCTGTATTATCATTCGGGTTTTGTGCAAGACTAACCGCCCAGTAACAGGACTGAGCTTCAGCAGTGATGTTCCTGTCGACAATCTCTAACTGATAGGTCACATCAATGCCCTTAAACTTCTGACAGTTCTCCACACAGACTTTTCCAATCTAAAAAAAAAACACAAGAGACACATTAATGCGAACTGTCTGGAGTAACTGACCAAATAAATTGCAATTTCGACCTAAAATTTGTTCACACTAATAATGAAAATTATTTTACATAGCATATATTATATTAAACATTAATTAATTGCATTAGTTTCAACATTTACTAATAAATTTAAATAAAATATTTCTGTTAAAACTGTATGTTAGTTAAGTATTAAGAAAAACTAGTAAGTTTCTACTACTAATAAACTTAATTAATAAACACTATATATGACCCTTTACCACAAAACCAGTATTATGTTGCACATGTATATTTTTTTAAAATCAAAATAATGAAAGTTATTGTTTTTCATTAGGATGTTAAGTCAAAACTGCATAATAATTCAATTTAATTTACTTCAAGTTTATTTATACAGCGCTTTTACATTGTAAATTATGTCCAAGCAGCTTAAAATAGAATTTCAATAAAGCAAACATGTTCTGTGAAGATATTTTGTAAATTTCCTAGGGTAAATATATCAAAACACATTTTTAGTTTGGTAAAATGCCTTGCTAGGAATTTAATTTGGACAACTTTAAATGTGAAAAATATGCAATATTTAGATTTTTTTGAACCCTCATTTTCCAGCTTATCAAAATCAGACAAATATTGTCCCATCTTAACAAATCCTACATTAAAGCTTAATTATTCAACTTTCAAACTGTGTACATCTCTGAAAATTAACCCCTATTGCTGGTTTTGTGGTCTAGAGTCATGTACACACTATTATTTACAAACTAAAACACTTTTAATGCATTAAATAATGGGTCCTTATTGTAAAGTGTGACCAGTATCATTAACATAAGCAAATGTTTCTTTTTATTAGTCAACTAAAGATATAGCAATTTCTTTTGTTAATTGAATTAAATTAATGCGGCGGAAAATTTAATTTTAGCTAGTTGCCAAAGAAATATTTATTATTCTACTGGTTAAAAAAATAATTTCAATATTTACAGTAGCACTCCTGTTTGGACAAGTTAGAAATGATTATACTCATCAGTAAAGCACCTGGGAGTAAGTTGTTGCCTTCTGTGAGACCGTGAAGGAATAAGTGACATTGGAGAAGCGAATGGGAACTGGCAGGACAGTCACATTAAAGTGTAACAGCACTGTTCCCTCTGGGCCTGGAAAAGTGGTGTCATTGACCAGGTAGCCCAACAGAAATGAGCGCTGCTCCGTCACAGACAGATTCTGACTGAGTTTCAGCTCTGAGGGCAGACAGCACATTATAGGACAGTCCATTACACACAATATGAAAAAAAAAATAGAAAACGTAAACTGATCAATTATAGTGCACTCAGCAATTATGATCAGTTTTTGACTTAAAATCACAATCAAGAGTCATCCATTTAAGAGATGCAACAGAATACACAATTTTTAAAATCTCTATTTATTTTAAAAGAAACAAAACTAGCATCATAAACTTTATGAGAAAGAATGAAAAAGTGAGTATATTGTAAAATCTTATCACGTTCACTCTTCTGTGCATTATACAGTGTGGGTGAAAATTAACTATAGGCAATATTTAATGACTTCAGACTTTTCATTCTATCACTGGAGAAACAATATGACACTGTGAGATAGTAAAAAGGATTTCATATTCCCTTCTACCAATTCGGAGGCAAAAAAGCGTATTGATTGTTTATATTGAGCATTTGTGAATCAGTGGCAACATCATAAATCACTGTCTGTATCACAAATATTTGTTAGTCTCTCTGTTTAGAGATGATGCATTGAGAATATTTTTGAATTTGAGGGTTTTTTTTATACCGGGGTATACATCTTAAAGTTCATGCCAGTGTGAAATACCACTTTTGTACTTTTTGTGGAAAGAGTTTTTTAAATCTGCAAAATGAAAATAGAAAATTCATGTGTGCTTAGATTATGGGACAAGCTTTATTATATTAATCGACTTGGCGTATTATTTAGTACTAAATGTTTTGATTACACATTTTAAGGTAGGTTTAATAATAATAATAATAATAATAATAATAATAATATTTTATTATTTGTCTTATTTTTTGTTTTACTGTGCTGCCATCTAGTGGCTAACATGTCATTTAGGGTTAAGAATAAAGCCCTTTCATTTTTATATTTAAAGAGTGAATATAGTGAGATAAACACCAAGAGGAAAAACATTTTTAAAAGCACTAAAATTATGTTTAAAAATAAGCAAAAAACTGTTTTTGTACTCACTGTATTCATGAACAGTCCCACGGACATTTCCAAAAATAGCTTTCTCTTCCCTAAACTTGTGTTCAATAGCAAAATTATTTTTGATCCAGGAGTCATTTGTCATCAGGGTCCCCACCAGTTTATTTTGAACTTGGTTTGTGGGATAAACTGGTGTTGTGTCTCTGTCATATACAAACAGAGTCCCAAACACAGTACCCTACAAAAGAGAAAAGCTTATTAATATACAAGATCAAAAAAGCTAAGAAGATTACACACACACACACACACAAAATAGCACACACCTCACTGCGGTCAAACTCTACTAAGACGTCTTCAGTGTCAGTCCCGTTGACATAAGGAGAATTATCATCTTCATCATAGATGTTCACATGTAAAGATCTGAAGACCTCCTCCAGATTTCTTTCTGTTCGTACCATACAGACTATATCCAGATGATACACTTCCTTCTCCTCGCGGTCCACTTGTGCTGTGACCACTAGTTCAGAAGTGGAGTCGTCGACCGCAAACGGTACAGAAGATCCTGAATTAAATATAAACAAGCACAGACAATCCATCTTAGAGTAGTGACGGGAGAAAATAAGTTTTCCAAATCTTTAAATGACTTAGACCAATTGCTTCATATAATGATTTTGAAGTGTTCAAATGATCACAGACTGAGTAACTCTGCTGGTCAAATCTGTGCAAATACAACAAAAACCCATGTCAAAAATGTATCAAAAACAGCTTTTACAAACACATTTAGCAAAGATTTATTGACTATAATTGATCAAATGCATTTAGCTAACCATCTAACATCATTAAATATACAACAAATCAGCATAATGTGCCTTCTTTTATCAATTTACAATACTTATTTTGTTTGTTGCATGGTGAGCTCTGCTAAACAGCCCAATGTGAAACTATTTTCTACCATTAAATGATTATTTCAGCCAAAAATTACTCATCCTCACGTCATTCTGAGATCTTTATTTATCTTAGGAGCACAAATGATTACATTTTAGATGAAATCCAGGAGCTCTCTCAAACTCCATAGAGGCTGTGAGATGTTCAAAGATGAGAAAAGCAACCAAAAACACTTTCCATGTGACTTCAGTGGTTCAAATATAATAAAAGGAAGCTCTAAGAACCCTTTTGTGTGCCAAAAAGCTGTAAAAAAGGCCTTGTTTGCCTATTTCTTCTGCCTCAGATCATTGTGTGCATTTACTACAGGTATTACAAAACTTTTGACAACACATTCTGCACTGCTGACTTTATAGCAGTACATCATACTGGAAGAGAAACCAAGTTGTTATCACAGTTTTTTTTAGAGCAAAGTTTCCATCCATGGAGCTTTAAATGATTACAATTGAACCACTGAAGCAACATGAAATGTTTGACAATGTATTTGGTTGCTTTTCTAGACTTTGAATATCCCTATTTCTGTTGAATATCTTTTGTTTATTCATTTAAAATACCTTAATTTCTGTCTCTGAAGTTGAATGAAGCTCTTGAGTGATTGGAACGACATCCTTTATTTTACTCATGTCCCATTAAAATGTCTACAAACTTTTATAACTGTTCAAAATTAGATTAAAAACAATGAAGCTTGTATAATTCTTTGGTGCGTGGGGGCAATCTTGATGAACTCAGTGGAGAACCATTGAATTTTCAGAGTTTTGAAATCAAGAAAACTTGTCATTTTGATATGCACACCAAACTAATGATTCAAAACAAAAGATTCACATCATGAAGCAGTTTTTGAAAGCAGCCAGTATCTTGCAGTGCTGTACTAAACAGAAAAGCATTGATATTCACACTGGGCTTAGTCCATACCTGCAACCACTCCATAGCTGATGGTGTAGTTTGGGCAGATGCTCATGTGTGTGAAGCGGCGCAGCTGGCGCAGGGCTCCTGGCTCGCGATTTTCAGTGATGTGGGGGTTGGAGATCTTCTCAGGGAAGCATAATGTGCTGAGCTCGACCTGACCACAGGAGGGCGCTGTGTCATTGATGAACGAAAGTTTGACCTCCACTGTGGGTAGGATGGTGCACATCACTTTCATTGGGGGAGTTGAAGAGACTCCGACCTTCAGGGTGAGATCCTTCGGGGAGCGAACTGAGCCGCTGCCTGGAGGACAGACATTATGACAGGACAGTCATTTATCAAGTCTCCAAAAACACTTATAATAGATAGTGTATGAATATATACACAATGACAATGTCTTACAACAGCACTACACCATTGTATATATATATATGATTTTAACCTTATTTATAATATTTTTATTTATGTTTATTCAGTCATTCATTTTTTTTCGGCTTAGTCTCTTTATTAATCAGAAGGAACCGCCAACTTTTCCAGCATATGTTTTACGCAGCGGATACCCTTCCAGCCGCAACCCAACACTGGGAAACACCCATACACTCTTGCATTCTCACACACACTTCGGCCAATTTAGCTTATTCAATTCACCTGTACCGCATGGACTGTGGGAAATAGGAGCACCAGGAGGAAACGGAGAAATGGCAACTGACCCAGTCAGGGCTCGAACCAGTGACCTTCTTGCAGTGAGGCGATCATGCTAACCACTGCGCCACTGTGTCACCAATTATTTTTAGTAATTAGTAATTTCATAAGTATTTTTTTTACAGTTTGAACTGTCAGTATTCTTTTTACTCAATTTTAATTTAGTTTAGTTTTAGTTATTTGTTTTTTTTAAGTAACAAAATATTTAGGCTTTAATATTAGTTTTAATATTAGTTAATATTAATATTATTTTTATATTAGTTAACTGTATATATAACATACAATATATATAACTAATATAGCCTATATATAAGCATAATAAACTAGTATTAAACTAGTAGTAATCATAAGTATTATTGCTTAAGAGTTGTATAGAATATGCAATAAAAATACTTAATATACCTTGTTAAAAATCTTCATATTTTTTAAAGAATGAATTTAGTAAATTTAGTAGTACATAAAGAAGAACAACTGCACACTAAACAAATAACTGTATAATGATGATGATAATGACGACGATGATGATAATAATAATAATAATAATAATAATAATAGAATTCATTACAGTCGTCTAAACTCTCAGCGCATTTAAAAAAAAATTTGGAAGGGAAAATCATATCCCATATCATAAATCACATACCATAGGGATTTATTTATTTATTATTTTACTTTATAAGTAAATTAAAATTGTATTAAAATAACATAAAATATATGAGTACAATAAAATGATACGAACAATTTAAACCCATAAAATCCAAGAATACCCAGAATATATAAGCAAAATAATGAAGAAAATTACAATGGTTCTTTCTATAAACTAAATATATACTTTTACTAAATGTTTTTTTAAGGTAAGTGATTGCAAACTATGTATATGGGCTGGTTTTAAATGAGCAAATTAAATTTTGTAATGTTCAATTTAATTTGTTTGTTTTTTAAATTCAGCCCATATTAATTGTTTGCAACCACTTACCTTAAAAAACATTTAGTAAATCCAATGAATCATTTCTTTCAGTGGATATGTTGAACTCACGTAAACTACTGAAGTCGCTCCACTCCAGGGTTTTGTTGAGATAAAGAACTCCGGACGCCTCATCTATGTGAAACCATGATGTAAAAGCGTCTCTGTGCGAGCACAGGAAGAAATAAGGCCTCTCTGTAGGGAATTCCCGCATTGAAATGACCTGAAGCAACGGTGATCCCTGCTGCTGACCCACGTAGATGTTCTCTGTGTAAAGCCTTTGAGGAAAATACAGCCCGAATGAACCTGTCCAAAACACACAGCAAATATAACACCACAGAGATTTAATATTTCAGTTTCGGATCCAGACATTGTCACATTTTGGCTGTCCTTTACACACTTTTTACATCCATCACCAATGAAGAAATCGTAGCACTTTCATCATTTTAACAATGGAATAAATGGATATTCTGGGTTCAATACAAGTTCAGACCAAAAGCATTTGAGTCAAAAAAATTTAATCTGACTCCGCAGGACGTTTGCAAGAAAACTGAACCTCAGATGAACATTAAATAGACAAGAACAACTTTAAAGATTAAATAATGCAGAGGACTTGACAAAGGATTTATTGGTTTGAGTAGATTGTTAATATCTATTTTATCCTGTAAATGTCTAATAACAAGTTTTTGACTCTTCTAAAATACTGTAATCTGTTTACAGTTTATTGTTTCTCTTTTATCTGAAAAACAATGCTAAAGTGTTCTGCTTGATATTCTGCTTTGAAAATGTGCGCTACATGCTGGAACGGCTGTCTTTGTTTTGGTTCTTTTAACCCGGCCAATGCCATTTCAACCAATTATATTTCAGCACCGTTGGTTGCCTTGGTGGAAAACCACTTATTTCATTTATCCAGTCAGGAAGGCTCTCAAAGTGTGCATCCGTGACCTAAATGTAACTTCCTGTGGACTGTAGCAGACTCAGATTCAGATTTATACATGAGGTGGTTATTACTTAGCAAATGATATAAATATTATGAACAAACATTAGGTGAGCAGGTTACATTGTAACCCGATGTCATAACACCCTACGAGATGAGATTTTACAGTGATAAACGATTTGGCTGTTTGCACCATAAAAAACAAAATGGTGGAAATTTAAACACAGCCAACACAATATTGCACTTACTGCACTCCAACATAAGTTTGATAATCTAATTAATACATATTAAACCTCTTTAACATTATTAAATGTACATGGTGAATCACTGATATGGGATAGTTTTGAGTCAGTTTCAATCAGTTAATTTTGTTTTCAAGATTTGAAGTGAACTATCATCTGCTGCTTTTAGTGGGATGGCAATAAATGCCATGCAAAATGACATTCACACTTACATTATTAGCATTTTACACTGAATAAAGCACATGAAGTGTAGCTGAGGTAAAATTCTGTTGTTCAGCTGCAAGAAATAGAAGCCATTTATAAAATGGTTGGTTAGGGTAAAAGTGTTGGTTAGGTAAAAACCTCTTTTAATATGAAAATATTCTTTCTATCTAAATGCTTTAATTTTGAACAAGGTTTAAATCAGGCTTAAATCAGCCTTTAGGCTCAATAGTTAGGCACACTTCTGTTGATGTCATCAATCTGGCAACCTGCGCTTGCATGTGTTTTAAACCAGAAATGCAATACCTAGTTCAACCACTGGGTGTCAAACTTACATACTGCACCTTTAAAGCATTTTATTTCTAGAAAATGACTGAAAACTGGTCAGAAATTACAATGTAATGCCTTCATTTGACATGATTGAAAATCAGGATTATTATACCAAATACTGATTTCTTAAATAATTCCAAATACTGTGGTATCTTCATCCCATTCATTAATTTTCTTTTCGGCTTAGTCCCTTTAATTATTAATCGGGGGTTGCCACAGCGGAATGAACCGCCAACTTATCCAGCACGGTTTTTCCGCAGTTGATGCCCTTCCAGCCGCAACCCATCTCTGGGAAAACTGTGGTATTGTCTAAAATTAATATAAACAAGTCATAAAACATAAAGCTTTTTGTTATTTGATATATCCAAAAATAACTTTAAAATCTGCTTTTATTTAACGTTTGGAAAATATGAAAATGTATGATTTACTCATACACATGAACAATAAATTGAAGTTAAACAGACACACAAACATATTATATATTTGAATATTTTATGGTTTTTATTTTTCTGTTGTTTTAAAGACAAATAACATCTACTTTTGGCTGTAATAATCAATACAGTAACTAATGCTAATGTTTATTGAGCTTAAAACTATGCAACATGGAATATCAATAATAATAAATGATGATGCAACATTTGACTATTTTATCTCTCTAAAAACAAAACATGATTTAACCCCTGACACAGATTATACGTTCAATAGTTATCATCAAATCTTCTCTTATTGATCTGCTTCTTATCTCAAATCTGTCGTACAACAGAAACATCCATGCAAGTAGGCAGGTTTACACAATGAACTCATTAAACACATCCGCTTTCTGTTGAAATAGCCCTCTCTCCTTTGTCATCGGAAAATGAAACAGCGTCTCGTATGTCATTGACGTCTGCCTTTTAATGAATTTCTCACATGGTCAATATGATGCGGTCCCCGATTCTCCTTGGGTTCACCTTGGAAAGTTTAATTACAGAGGATAACATAATACTGCTTAGAAATGAATCATTACCTGCAGGACGAGTGTGGATGGAGGACTGGGGTGGGGTGTGTGTGAAGGGGGGTTAATCTATAAAACACTGTAAGATCCCCATGTGTTTTACCAGTAAATGGAGATGCAAGTGTTCAGGCTGTAATTATATCTCTCCTGTGTTCCTGCCTGACGACGGTGGGCGGCCACTTAGGAACGTACTAATATCATTAGCAGACAGCAAAACTAGATTTTCTATTTCTGTTGCTGCAGTTGAAGCCTTGTCTCTGGTTTCAGACATTGATTTAATTTAGCTGTGCTGGGATGACAGCAGGCCGGATTGATGGATACAATGTGGCCAACCTTCCTGAAGGATGGAGACGCAGTCAGGAACGCTACAAGCCTTTTTATTAAATGCCTTGTCAAGACACGAAGACAACACACAGGACTGGTTTTTGCTTCTTCCTTTATAGGGTCACCAGTCATGCTTGCAGACATAAAACATTCTTTAAAGACCTTGCGAGATCGAAATGAAACTTTTGTGCTAGTATCTGTTTGCTTTGAAGGCATCGCTATGTAATTCAATTCAAGTTTATTTGTACAGTGCTTTTCACTATACAGTACTTTTCACTATACTTTTCACAAAAAAGGTGCACATTAAAAAAACATTTAACAATAAATATTCATTCATTTTCTTGTCGGCTTAGTCCCTTTAATAATCGGGGTCGCCACAGCGGAATGAACCACCAACTTGTCCAGCACATTTTTATGCAGCGGATGCCCTTATAGCCGCAATCTCTGGGAAATATCAACACACACATTCACACACACACTACGGACAATTTAGCCTACCCAATTCACCTGTACTGCATGTCTTTGGACTGTGGGGGAAACCAGATCACACGGAGGAAACCCGCGCAAACGCAGGGAGAACATGCAAACTCCACACATAAACGCCAACTGAGCCGAGGACCGAACCAGCGACCTTCTTGGTGTGAGGCGACAGCACTACCTACTACGCCACTGCTTCGCCCTAATAATAAATATATTTAACAAATTGTCCAAAATAAAAAGTATAATGTTCCTAAGGGCAAATTTTACTGGGAATACTTCATTGACTTAACAGACTGGAAAAAAAACTGGCTATTACCCCATATTTAAGTACTGCATGCATTCCCAATAAAACAAAAGATCTTTGTTTCAAAATTCTTCATAAAATATTTGCAATAAATAATACTCAGCAAAGTATATGGATGTTGATAGTTCATGTTCATTTTGTAAAAGTGAAGACAAATCTCTGATTCATATATTTTTAGAGTATGAAAACACAAAAAGCTTTTGGAAAAGCTTATATAGGTATAGGTAATTACTTTGCTTATAGGTATACATTGCTTCTTCCAGCCCCTTTCAACTACAAGATATTATTTCTTACTATAAAGGTAAAACTTATATATCAGAGAACTACATTATTAACTTTTTTTTTATTTTTTAAGGAAAATATTTTATTCATATATAAAAATTCTCAAATTCAAAGCCTTCTTTTTCACATTTTTAAATTGAAATTGATGTTTTTATTAAATCTCTTAGACTGGTTAAAAACAAGAAAGGTGATAGTTTCTTGGATTATTATGATAATTATTTTAGAAATATCACAGATACTTAAGTCCTTTTTTCCTCTTGCTGTATTTGTGTTATTTATGTATCTCTATTTATTTTTTTCTCTTTTCTTTCTTTTCTTTTTTTTACTGTTTTATATGTGTTTATAATATTATTTAAACTGATCTGTTGTTATTATCATTGTTACAATTATTGTTTTTTTGTGTAAGATTAGATTTTGTATGTTTGTCATTGAATAATAATAAAAAAACTGGTTAAAAGTCAAAATAGAGAAAAGAAAAGTAGAGGTGTTGTGTGTAGGGTGAAAAGTAAATAAACATAACATTCTAAAAAGGTGATGTCTATGTGTATTATACATTTTTTAGTGTATCTGTGCATTGCTTAGGTGTTTGTGTTTTCCTCTTTGGAGCGTTGTACAACATATAGTGTACTGTTATAAACAGTTACAGTTAAATTATTTTTTATTAAAGGAAATAGAGCCACATTATTATTTTCTTTTCTACTTTAATACAACGGCTAATGAAATGTAATAATTTTTACTCCCTAATTCTGATACTCCCCATTCTGAGGTAATGCCATTTTTATCTTCACAGTTTTTGCTTATCCCTGTCATGCTGTAAGTTACATTTTCTCTATTCAGTTACATGTATGGTCAAATTTATGATATAAAGTAAATCAGTACACTGCAAAACTCCTTATGTCCACATCACTCAAAACATTTATAAATGAACAACATTATTTAAGTTAGTGGAACTTTTATTTTTATACTTTATACTATACGTTTATAGGATACATCTGCTGATATGCACATCCATATAGCTTCATTTTTGTGATGCTGTAAAACAATAAGTAATATATTTTTACAGTACTGTGACGGTTGGGTTTAGGGTTGGATTAGGGGTAGATGTTAATGAAATACAATTTATTGGGTAGTTTAATAAATACCATAAATAATAATCGACACAAGTATTGTTTTTACATTGCTGTAATGGTTGGGTTTAGGCTTGGGGTAGAC